AAAAACGCCATAAAGAGAAAAAAAAACTTGAACGCAGGGAAGATAACAGATGCTGTTCAAATTCGCCATTTTTATTCGCATAATATTCCCTTAAAAGTAGAGAGGGCCTTGACAATAGTTACTAATTTTGGTAAATTCAAGCTGGTGACGTCCTAATCCGAGTTGGACGACAACACAACGGGACAACAACCGATGGAAATGAAATGTGGGTCACAAAAGGAGCCCGGGGGAACGAAGGCTGCTAACGTGTTGCTAGCTGGTGGTAAGTTTGCTTATTAATTATCTTCATTTAGTTATAAACAGTGCAGTAAAGATATATAACTTACGTTGGTTTCATAAATAATTATTTTATCAATTTTATTGACTTGTATGATTATTACTATAGCAATCATTCAGCTTCATGTTATAAATGCATGGAGGCTGTTTGTTGACTTATAGTTTTCTTCATAAACTTAACCTGGTTTTAATTAAGCTCCATAAGACAAAGAGACTTTGATATTGTGAGGTTGTTGTTCTAACTCGTTCATCAATGTTTTTATCTTCAACATATGTTTGCAGACTAACTAAGCAAATGAAGATGAAAGAGGAAGCCAGAGAAATCGGGTGCTAGAAAACCTAAAGACTTTCTGTCTCAGAAGAGGCTCTGTCTCCACCAGATCACCAACCAGCTCTGAGGATGAACCTTCACATCGTCTTCATGGGGGAAGGATTTTTTTGTTTGTTTTAATGAGGAACTAACTCATGTTAGGGACATACCAACAGTGTCATTCAGTAAATAATGACAATTTTAATGAGAATTTGCTTTAAAAGTTGGATGAAAGGTTTTATGTTATGTTTATGACAGTGTCATGTCAGTCTTATGCACACCCCATCAAATAAAGTGTTACCAAAATGGTAATATATTGAAAGCACAATGTAATTATAATTTTTGTTCTTTAAAGTAATAACTTTCATGTTTTTTTTTTATCACACTTAAATTGTCATATTCATTATGTTCACTTTTGACATGTAAACTGATAATTTATGTAAAGTTCATAAAGTTGAGTAAAATTGGACAATTTTAAAGTGTCGGTAGTAAAACAAAATATTTGAATTACCTTGAACATCTTGTGTAATTAATCTTTCCATGTAATTGTAGCCTAAAACAATGTAAGTACTGTAGTGTAGTTATGCATGTAATGTACAAAATAGTAAAGTAGGAATAAAGAAAACTTTTATGAGTAATTAAAATTGTACTTTATTAGCAATAGCAGTAAATCAAAACTAAAAGGTGTAATTTAAATACATTACTAATATATTAGCAGTATATTTAAAATATTTAAAGTATATTAAAATTATATTTTTAATATAATTCTATGACAGAATTAGTACACTCAAAATATACTAATGAAGCTTTTGAATAGTACATAAAGTATACTTAAAGTATACTAAGTACAACTTGAAGTTGTTCCAAAAAAGTATGTTTAAGTATACTAAGTATACAAAAATTGTAATTTAATACTATTTAAATACTATTAAAATATACTAAGCACAAAAAAGTTGTTCCAAAATAGTACAGTTTACATGCTATAATATCCTGAATAATTTAATTCTAATTCTTCCATCTCACTTTCTGGTTAGATTTAATCCATAATTAAATCTGAATCACACCTTGTAACTTTAACCAAACCTTCACACTACTTTGTCTCTTATCACAATCAGCTGTGTCACCCTTAGACACTGGGACTAACCTGTGCTCCACTAAAACTGTCCGACTGAATCTTAGCTGCTCTTTGCCCCGAACTGCAGCTGTCCGAGGTTATGGATATCAAACAACATTTCCCATGAGCCTTTTAGTTGATGACTTCACAAAACAGGAAGTAAACATGAAGGAAAATGTCATCAAGCGGCTTCCCTGAGCCACGACAGATCGTAGAGGTTGCAAACCTTTTCTCTTCAAACAGTGAAGTGTAGCAGCAGGAAGCTGTCACATCCCGTCTGGTGGTGCAGCTGAAGCGTTAGCATGATGCTATGCAGCCTTAGCTGTTCTGCTGGTACGTGATCGCTTTGATAAAACATCCCAGCTGTCATGTCGTTGTTTCAGACTGCTGACACTCAAGGCTAGTTTATTATTCCATTCTCACTACTCTATTGTCTTTAGCAGCTTTAGTTAGGGCTCTGTTGTTGTTCGCATGAAGACTGGCGGATAGGAGACAGTTAATGACGTTAATAATAAAAACCAACCCGTCAGATTGTTACAGTCCATGTTGAATAATATCATAGACAAATAAGCAGCTACTGTTTGTTTAAAACAGTGTTCGAACGCTAAGAAAGCGATAGCATCAGAATCACATTATATTATTGAATAAAGGACTAATTCACTGCTTTTATTAAATCAAGATCCATTTTAGTTATTTTTCCCCGCTTCCAGGAAAACTGCATTGAGTGAGCCAGTTTGAGCTAAATACTGTATGCTTCTTCCAGAAATCAGTTTGTGACAATCTGTTTCCATCTCATCTTTCTCTGTCACACTTATCAATTATTTAGAGAAAATAACTTTGCAATACTCTCCTGGAACTGCTAATATCTGTCCATCCACTCAATCAAGATGACTGTACAGTCAGCACACTGGTGTCTCCTGTGAGTTTTCGAAGGCGGCCTGGTCCACGTCAGTCGGCCCCAGGGCCTTTGTTACAGTGTAGTTTTCCTCCATCAGTGTGTCCAGAGCAGGAGAGCTCAAGTCCAGTCCTCCAGAGTTACCATCCTGCAATTTTCAGATGCCCCTGCTCTAACACACCTGAATCAAATGAATGGCTCATTAGCAGGTCTGTTCAAAGCTGATCCTGGTCTGTTGGAGTAAAGATGCGTCCAAAAGTTGCACAACAGTAGCTCTAGAGGACTGGACTTGAGCACCCCTGGTCCAAAGCATTTATGTTGTATAATAAATAATCTAACAACAACTTGAATAGTCACCACAAACTTTGTGTTCCTGTGAAAAACTTTAAGTCATTGCTGTATTCATGATTTCCATCTTAAGCTTATCCCACCTCATGGAGAAACATTTATACTAATGCGCCAAGTCTATTAGGAGGTTTACATTTAAAAAAAAATTTTTTTCCAGGTGTGCCGTTTCCCTGGCCTGCATGATCCCTGCTTCTCTCTGTGAACGTGCTCAGGGCCATGGCTGAGGGGATGGGACAGAGGAGCCTTATGGGCATCGGTGTGCTGCTGGCTTGGCTCTTGCTTTTCCACCTGTTGGTCAATATTTGGCTCCTATGTGTGTTCACCAGCTTGCTGCTGGTGCTCGGAGGTTGGTTTGGCTCCCAGGCTATCCTAGAGTCCAACAGCTTGGTTCACCTGGAGAGGTTCATCAGTCTGGAACAGGTGAGTGCATCACTAAATGGGTTTGTTTGTTCATGTCTTTGCACATGTGTGTGTTTCATTTTGTGTCTGCAAAATAATCAGGAAGTACTGAGAAAAGATAACCTTAGCCCAGGGGTGGTCAATCCTGGTCCTCGAGGGCCGGGGTCCTGCAACTCTTAGATGTCTCCCTGGTCCAACACACTTGAATCCAACAGCTTAATCACCTCTGAAGTGCAGTCAGGTTCTCCTGAGCCCTGCTAACGACCTCATTATTTGACTCAGGTGTGTTGAAGTAGAGACACATCTAAAGGTTACAGGAGACCGGCTCTCCAGGCCTGGAGTTGCCCACCCCTGCCTTAGACTTTAGTTGCATGGTCAAATGTAAAACCTTGCAAAAGCATTCATACCGTTTGAATTTGACATGGCACGTCACAACCACAAACTTTATTGTGTCTTAATGCGTCATTTTGAAGTGGAAGAAAAAGATAAACAATTTAAAAAACTCATGGAAGTACTCCTAAATAAAATCTTGTGCAACAAACTGGCTTCAGTAGCCGACCAGTCAATAGAGTCCATCTGTGTCTACCTCATTACAAAAATAAATCTAGCTGAATTGTGAAGATGTTGGTAGAATGATGAACACACAAGCCATGAAAACATCATAAAAGTTAACGTTTAAAGATGCGCAAATGTGGAAGAGACTTGCAGCAGAAGGTGGTTCTTCAAAGTATCCACTCAGGAGGATAGAAAACGTATGCATACCTCACTTTTCTGATTATTTGCTGTGAATTTCAAAATAAAGAATCATTCTTCATTCTCCTCAGTACTGTGTACTCCAACACAGTACTCCACTTGTGTGCTTTATGTGATAAACCACACAAGTGTACTTTGTGTTGGTTTATCACATAATTTTCTCCCAAAATACATCGACGTATACTTGCTTAGAGGATTTAATGATTATTTTCCAACAGTTGATTCTGGGAACATTGTGGCCTTATTGTTATTAGATTTTAAATGCAGTGTTTGATACTATTAATCATGACATCGTTTTATTTCGACTGCAGCTCTGTGTTGGTCTTAAGGGTACAGTTTTAGATTGGTTCTAGTCATATTTGAAAGACAAAATGTTTTCTGTTCATCTGTAGCACCACCCCTACAGTATGGAGTACCTCAAGATTCAATCATAGGCCCTATTTTGTCTATATTAGCGGTTCTCTCCCCAGGGGGCGTTCAGAGGACGGCAGGGGGCGCTGGCGGAAATTTTTACACAAGGGGGGCGCTGGGATTCCTTTGGGGGGCGTTTTGTCGAAGGTAAACTTTACACCTTACAATCACAACAATACCAGTTTAGACTTTGAGCAACTTGGTAAAACTGTATTGTGTAACATTAAATCATGCCTGGCTGCAACTGTATCGATGGCAGCTCTTCTTCTTCTTCTTCTTCTTCTTCTTCTTCTTCTTCTTCTTCTTCTTCTTCTTCTTCTATTCAGTGTTTGTAGCTTTTTGGCGCAGCTCCGCTCCTGCTAGTAGCTTCATCGCATCAGTTCAGTGTTACACCGGCTGATGACGTTGCTGTGATACACTTGTCTGGAGTCTGATTTTAAAATATTTTATGTTTTACTGAGGATTTTTGTACAAATGTTTTGTCAGTTCTGTGATCATGTCAAAGCAGCAGCTTATATTAAAAAGTGTTTTATTTCCGTTTGAAAGCTGCCCGCTTCCATGGAAGGACAACAAAAAATCGCTCTTATAAACATGTAATGACTAAAATCAGACCACATCTAATACTGAGAATAAATATATC